GCCGCCCCGGGTAGCTCGTCTCTGCCTTCCCACGGCGCTGCTCTATGTTTAGGTCACAGTTATCTTTGCTTTTTTAATGTAAAGAAAGTAACAGCATGGAGGGTTCTCTTCGGTTTAACCCGATGTTTGCTCTCCATCAGCCCTCCATGCGGCCAGCGGGAGCACCCCCGCCCATAGCGGCCGTTCCGTTTGTTCCGGCGCTGGGGCATAGCACCCGCCCGGAACTGGAGTTGAAGGTGTGCAAGCTGTCCCCCCTTCAAATAATGCTTTCATTTTCTTCACCTGAGACAGCTGAGTTACTGCGCACTGAATTAAGCATAGGGCAACCTAGCACCATTTGGATGATGACCACTAAGCCTTGCGTGGGAGCTGTGCACAAAACCAGAGGTAGCATTGGAGCCCTGCCCAGAAACAAACGCTTGTCATAGGACCCCTTTACTGCAAACCCTTCCAAGGCCAACCCCAACCTCCACGGCAACCCAAGTCAGCACCTCAGGTTGGCAGTGTTCAGAAAAACGCTATGTTTAACCATGAATTCCACACAAGCTACATAGAAGCAGGTTGTACTCTATCAAGAAATAATTGTTTTCTTCATACTACAGTTAAGTTATGGTTGGGGTTTTTTTTGTGGTTGAAAAAAAGAAGCAGAGTCCTACAGCATTTCATTTCTTTTATTATTTCAGGAACAGAAACAGCAAAACAAATCACTGTATTAGGAAAGCTATTTCAGCTATGTCTTTGGTATAACACAGTTAAACTAAAATGTTTCAGAAACCATGAATAGGAAAAATAACAATAGCAAAAAATGAAAGCTTTGTCATTTAAATATTGCATAGGCACCATACACTTTTTCATTACATTCTTCCTTAAAGGATTAATAAACTAGGTGATAGGTAATAAACCCAGGTGTCCTGTGGTGATAAAACAAACAGTCTCACCCACTGAATACCCTGTAAGGACATTTGGTACAGACATACTTTTATTCCCATTCTTGCCTAAAACTGCTTGTCCAGTTATTATCCAAAAAACCTCTGTCTAGTCAGGATACTTAGCAACACTCGAACAGGCTGCCAAAGACTCCTTTCATCTCTAGGGAATGCATCAAGACATTAAATTGATGAGTCTGGAAGAAGAAAAAAAAAAAAGAAAAAAGGCGGGATGGGAGGAAAAAGGGGGAAGGGAGCTAAAGATGTGCTCCAGCCTCATCAGAAACAAAATTAACTTCTTCCCTTCCTGCGAGATGTCACTGCCTGACTTGCTGCCTGCCAGCCACAAAAAGTGAAGTGCAAGGGGGACTACAAGGACAGATGAAGCGTGCACTGAGCAAGTGGGATGTTCCTGTGTTAAGACCTCTGCGCTCAGGCACACAGGGCAAGCGAGTGGCTGTAAACAGTAGTTGCTGCGTATGTCTACGTGGCTCTGTTATTCTATTCAAGCCTAAGATGAAGACCACAGAAGTGGATTCAGGCACAGCTGAAAGAGGCAATTATAGTGCAAAAAGAGTAGTCCTAAAGAAACAGAACGTTACTGTGTAATAGCAGCTCTTCTGCCGAGACACCTCCTTTTTAGGGAGAGCAAAATCTGCCACAGAACAAAATGCTAGAAGTTTTGTTGTGCCGGATAAAGAAGAGGAAGGGATGATCAGCAGTGAATTCTGCAACAATCATTGCACTGCGCAGCCGCATCACTCCTGCTGTGGCAGCCTCCGCCTCCGGGCCCCCGCCGCCCCCCCACCCCTCCTGCTGGGGCACCTGCCGCTTCAGTGCCTTCTTCATTGACTTCCACAAAGGACTTGTGAACTACTTCAGAGAGTACCAGCTCATTGCCAGCTGAGATTCCCGAGAAGTCTGCCTTCCCTAAGTCAAATGCATCAGGCATTCCCATGCTGCTCAGAAGGGGTTTCAGATCATAATCCTCTTCCAGTTTAAATCTGGGTAAAGACACCATCACCTCTGTACAGTCCATCATTTCAGGATTGATCCAATCTATCAGCTTCTCATACGTAAGTTCTCTTTCCAGCTAAAGAAAAACCCGAAAGTTACATAGTTAAAATGAGAAGAGAGTCAGTTTTACACAGCTGAAAGTGACAATTACTGTGTTTGTTTACATAGTGCATAATATCCATCTTTTTTCCAGGGTTTAAAGGGTCTCAAGCCAAAAGTGCAAGTTATACTTCTCGCCCAAGACCATGGCCCCAGCTGAGATCAATTCCATATGTTTTTTGGTAGATACAATAAGGATCAGTCTCTTCCACGTAAAGGAACTTTCATAAAACAGATTAGATTGGTGGTTTTTTTTTTACATTTTTACATATGGGAAGCAAAGGCACAGAAGAACCGATGACAAGGTCCCAAAGGAACTGAATCCAGTTCTTCTGTCTCTTAATCACAGGATCCTCCTTCAGGTTGACAAGCTGATGAAAAAGTCTACTCACAATGCCCTTTGCAGTCAGTGTTAGAAAGCCTTATTAATAAATTCCTTGTCCAGAGCATGAAATAGCCAAAACTTGTATCGTATCTCCACCACAGAAGAGATCCTACACTTTCCTGTGAGCCTGTTTCCAGGTGGTGGGCCAGAGACAACCTGTCAGCTGTTGAGAATGGAAGATCTATGGGACAAGCTATAGGACTTCCCAAGAGCTCTCCCAGATCCCCTCTCACCATATATGACGCTCACCATAACCACAGCTAACCTCTGCTCCTGAGGCAGGTCAGGTCTTCTTCTAGAGCCTCTGGCTAAGGGGGCAGCACACACCTTGATCAGTAGTGAGTGATACAAGAAGGCATGCCAATCACTTTGGGGGCAGGGAGGTGTGGGACACTTCAGCTGGTGTTCAGCACTAGCTTTGGAATTGAACTGCAGGTCTATATGCAGTATCAAACTGTCTTCCCTGGAAGGATACAGCCTGTCTTTGCATTTAGCTCAACAACTTACGCTTTCCAAGCCAGTGGATTCATCCTGGATTGCATCAGGGAGCAGGATGATCATGCTGAGTTCATTACCAACATAAGGGAGCTCAAGGATTTTGGTCCTGAAGTCCCCAATATAGGTCATGTTAAATCTATCCTTCTTTAACATCATCTGCACAGGTTTGGTCTCTTTCTAAAAATAAAGAGATGTCAACAGTTAGTATGAGCTAGTATGCTGGTCTCAAAATACGAAGCAGGCATCCAGTTACTCAGGGCTTTTTAGAATTTGACTAAAGAGAACTAAACACACCACAGAGTACAGCCCCACCACTGTCTTTTGTAAAGCAAGAGATAAGAAGTAAGGATCCCTGAGATTTAATTTTTAATTACTAATGTGGAAATGTCTGTGAAATTTCCTTCAAGACAAAGAGGCAAAGACGCATAAATTTGCTTACTTAAGAACTAGTGACAAGCACTAAACAGAGCTGATAAGAAGCAGGGCCTGTGTTCCTTGCTTTAAATGAATACAAAATAATTTCAATGTACGTATTTCTATTTTTAGTCCATGTGGCTCCAAGTGCTGTAACAAAGAGGAATTAAAATATTTTTAAATTATACTAAAAATGCCAAGAAAGTGAGAGCATTATTTTGAATTCTTGAGAGTCACATGGATAGTAAGGAGGGGAAAGATTTTTTTTCCCCCCCTCAATTTCATTCTCTGCTATCTCCTTCCATTATCACATGGAGCATCAGCTACTATTGTTTACATCATTATTTCCTCCTTTTCAGTTAAGAGTTTCATTGCTTTCTCCCTTACCTTCAGGAGATAACCATGCAAGCAGTTTTTTGTTTTTAAAATAAAGCCCACTAAAACAATGCCCACAGAGAATATGGCAGAAGTTATTCTGCGGCAGCAATGACACATGAAAAGAATGGATAAGCGAAGAAAAGGCCACACAGCATGTCAAAATCATCCAGTGAGTTTTAAGAAGTGCAAGAGTCACAGCAATAATGTGACAGGATGCTGGAAAGGCTCCTGGGATGTTAAAGTAAATCTTTGCTGCTGGACAGATTGTATAATAACTAGCTTAAAACTTCAGGTTACACTGGGATTTCCAATTGCTCATTTGAGCCTTCATAGACTTCTGTAGCTCATCAGTGGCTAGGCATTAGTAGGATGAAAATACAAACTTAAGCCATTTAGTTTTACAAGGAAAGATATGTGCAGTTGTTTGCAATCTAAAAGTGAGTTCCTTGGGTGAACCAAGGCAGCATTCCCCAACCTCACATCTTACAGCTTTTTCCAATACTGACCTGGATCCCAGAGACTCTGATCTTAAAATAATAATAATTAACTGAAGACGACTTACATTCAGAAGTTTCTGCACATGTAGAAGTGCTCTTTTCTGCCTACAACCTAACAGAACATTTCTTTTCTTACACACACCAGTTTTATGCTAAAATAATCAAGTTCACTAACTTCTGTGAAATTGTTCACAACTCTCAAATAGCCTGACAACTTCACTCAACTGTTTTCTTCTCCTCCGTTCTCTTTTAAGTTCTGTAATTATGTAGAGGGCTACCTCTCTCAAACAAACAAGAAGGGTAAAGGAAAAAAGAAGAGACAACGAAAGAAATATTTAATTGTTATATTAAAGCTTCTAATAATTATGTGAAACTTAACAGAAATTAAACAGAAAGAGTGTTCATATTAAAAAGAGGGGGTATAAGGAATTTCATACAGCCTACAAATGGTAACCCTGCTTGAATGATTCTTTTTTCCCCCTTCAGAGTTAAAGGTATTCATTTCAGAGTACTTCAGAGTAACAGTGTATTGTCAGCATTTTACCACATCATACCTTGTTAATTCGAAATGGCATTTCTGCTGTTCTCTCTTTGTTGAACTGCTTTTCCCAGTTGCCTTTGAAGTAGATGGCATTCACTAACACAAGTCTGGTCAGTGAATCGATAATTCCCTCTGCCAACAGGTTCTGAATTTTACCTTTATGATACACAGAAAAAAACCCCAATTTTTAACATTTTGACATGTATCTAGTTATTATCTAACACAGTATCTACTCTGTAATTAATACACAATAGATAAGACAATTACGTACCAAACAGAGCAAGAGCTCAATGTTTGGGTTTTTCTAATTCACATCTTGAAATAGCTGTTTACCCAAACCCTGACTGTCATTAAATACAACAGGGCATTCTGCAAAACACTCACCTTCAGTCCTTTCCTCTACCCAGCCATTTATTTGTTTCCTGGAATCTTCCCAAGCATGCATGAAGTCAGTCTGTTCTAGTCCAGCATGGTAGAATTTCTGACTTGACTCTATAAATGACTAACATGGATGTTCAGAACAGCTTTTCAGCAATATATTTTACTCTCATTCAGCCACAGATTATTCTTAAATACACCAAGAAAATCTGCCCGGTTTCCTCCCCCAGCTTCATATAGAGCTGTTGAAGTTTTGTCTGACACATTCCTATTAGGTTTTATACCACCTATTTGAGCTAAGAATTGTCCACTGTATGTTACTAAGTCAAATGGCTTGTTTACTATGCTTAAAGTTCTACGTAACTTAATTGAGAAGTGATGTGGCTAGTTTTGGGGGGTTTTTGCTTCAGTGAGAGAATATATGATTTTGTAAGCTTCTCTCTACATAAATTTCATTCTTAAACCTCCCAGACCAATAGAAAACTTTTAGTTCAGAGGGGACACTGATTTTTCTTAGAGAGGGAAAAAACATGCCTTCTCTCTCATTTAATATAGTTAGATCTTTATTGCACAGATGCAAAGTTTTAAGTACAATCCATGTAATTTTTAATCTATTAGTCAAATGAAACACTAGCATTCTTCATAAAAAGAATCACTGTAAATCACTCCAGGGGAAGGAAAAAAAAACCCAGACAAAAAAAAGAGCCTTACATCTTCTTGCTTCTAGGGAAGCATCTAAAGGAACATGTATAACACAATACCTATTATCCTTATTTAGATCTTCTGATAAGGAATATCTTAGAAGTCATGTACTGCTCAGTATGTTCTCTGCATGATTTGCGTAATAGAAAAACTACAAAATACTGCCCATGCTGAAGAGTAGTAACAATTCTTTTTTATCGTATTTACACACAATCAAGGCAAAAAAGACATACGTCAACCATTTGTCCCACAGCCAAAAATATGAACGGATCATGGAACCCTGAAGATTTAGAGTCTGATGGATTTTATTATGTTTTGCACCAGTTATGCATTCAGATCACAGGCTATCTAAAAGGAGCTTCTCCACCAAGTTCAGATACCAGGCTTTGGCACAATCTGTCACATTGGTAGGTCTCAGCCTAGAAAATCTGGAAAGTAAAACCCAAAGCCTACCTTTGACCTCCAAAGGAAATAGGTAGCAAGTACATTATACTAAAAAACACCACAAATTTAATGGTTACTTACTGAGAGAAACTCAAATGTCTTTTCTCCATAAAGTCGGTTAGCAGTTCTCAGGATATAATTGGTGTTTGGATCATTAATTTCAGAGAGAAGTAATTGATAGCCATTGTGAGCATCCTTGGCTTTGTTCAGAGAAAGCACCTGTAGAAAGACAAACATCCTCAGCAGAGTCCATGCCTTCTCTAAACACACTTGCTTCAGCACATTTTTTTTTTTTTTTTTTTTAAATGATTCTTGGGTTTAAAAACTGTGACTTGAAGCCAAAAGATCTTTTCATCACACCTCCCAGCTGAAGCTTATCATGCAAGTCACATACGATGCACCCAGCCAAATGTTGTACAATAATAAATTAGGGTGCAGAGGAGTCAGCAGTATTTAGTTTCCTTCACTCAAGCCAAGCATTAGAGGATCACAGAGTGGTTGAGGTTGGAAGGGACCTCTGGAGGTTGTCTGGTACAACCCCCCTGCTCAGGCAAGGCCATCGACAGCTGGTAGCCCAGGACTATTTTCAGAAGGATTTTGAGTATCTCCAAGTATGGCAATAATGTAATTTTGGAGAAACTTTAATAAATTTAGATGAAAACAAAATATGTGTTCATACTCCTCTTCCACTTTGCAAAAGAGGCAAACATAATAACAAAAATAACTGATTATGCATTTAATACTGTCAATTGTAGATGTAAAAAATATGGTGGTTTGTGCCACCTGAGCAAGTTTAAAAAAATTAAATCAAGATGCAGCTACCATTTTGACATGCATACAGGTGGATTTTTAATTTTTTTTTTGTGTATGCCTGGCTACATTTTCAAAACATGTATAGTCTGATACTAAGCCCAAAAAAAGATAGAAAATATTTTATGTAGCTAGAAATTCATCAAACCTACAAGAAAAAAGCTAGGTACCTCTTAATGACATATCGAAGGAAGATCTCTCTGTCTCAAAAAATCCAATAAAAACCACACAACAAAAACCAGGAACCTCTTAATTTCCTACTGAAGGAAGCTCCCCTATAAAAACAGGTACTGCTTACAAACATACCAAAGACCTCTGCTCTCTGAGACCAGAATGACAATAATAGTTTAATGTAAGTGCAGGTCACAGACATGACACAGATTTGTTGTTCATGTGGTCCCAAATTCAACACACTAAGTTTATTTAGACATACCTTTGCTATTTGGGCTTCGGTGTTACCTTTTGAACCCAGCAAAATCATAGACAAAGCAGAAGAAATACTAAAAGGAGAAAAGAATAGATTCTGCCTACTTTTGTTCTCACACAACTTTTTTAAGAGGTCAAGTGCAAAAGTGGTACTTGCTGCGCAGAGGCTATCCATGGTTCAGAGCCTGGGAGATAAAACACAAAACAAAAATGGCTCAAATTTATTTGAATACAAACTGGTAAGTTATTTCTGTCTTTTACATTTCCCAGTATGAACTATGCAGCAAGTGGCGTAATTATGCTGGAAAATTATCAACTCACTGAACTTGGTGGAACAAGCACCTTAAATCCCATACTAGGCACTTGAGTTATTTTAGTGATTTATTGCTTGCTTTTCTATTTCAATCCCATACCTGTAACAGAGACAGCAATTTGCACTGGTGTCATTAGACTCTTCACGGGGTAAATAATATTACATCTTTTGAGATTATCATATACAACAGTGTTTTGTTTAGGATTTATTAAAACAAGTCTCTTTTGACTCCACAAAGACAGTTATTTGCCTTTACAGAAAAAACAGAGGAAAAATTTAGGCACCAGAATAGCAGAATTATAAACTCTTACCTTCTCTAAGTCTATATATCTTCAGTATTACCTTCAGCTTATTTGTATGTCTGCACACTGTGTTTTAAACCTAACAGCCAGTCTGGTGGAAGTCAGCAGAATGACTTGACCTACAAGATTAAAAAATAAAAGAAAAAAGTTATTTGGTCAGCATGACAGATTACTGTAATTTCCTGCTGTAGTACAAAGAAAAATCAAAGTCCATTTCGGTTCCATTTTATTGCCTACAACACAGAAACACATACAATAAAAAAATTGCTTATAGATAACTTTATGGTACTTCATTTACACTTCAACACATGTAATTTGATGCCTGTCATACTCTACACACATCAGTTGTGTAGGTAGGTAACTAATGTGAGATTAAACCACACACTTATAAAAGCAGCAATAAATACTAGAATGCTGAGTTAACTACAGATAAGTATCACCAGACATCATAAGATATCAGCTGGCAGTAAAGGTTTCTGCATTTTGCTTTTCCCTTAAGGCAGTGTCTAGTATTGATATGTTGCTACAAAATACAAAACCACACCTAATTCATATTACTAATTCATTATCTCAAATAGGTGGAAAAAACAAGTTTCTGCATGCATGATTTTCCACCTAAGAAAATGTCTTGCTAGTAGCTTGGCAATAAATAGTAGTAACTTTTCTCCTGTTTCTCTTCTCCCATAACTGAAAGGGGGGGGAGAGGCAAGCTTAGATGGAAACAATCCTCCAATTCTGCCTGAAACAAGCAATTTAACTACATGTACTTTACAGCATAAGTTCATGTTGGTTACAATGAAGACCAGAATTTTCCTACTGTCCTGGTACCTGTCAGATTGCTAGCAAGAAGGTTTTTTGACCTGGAGGTCAAAATGCATAGGAATAATGACAGCAGCAAGCAGTATTATCTAGAAAGTTTTTGTAGGGCTTCCATGACAGACAAGAATTTACACACAAAAGGACGCAACTCACACTATTTGCCTACCTGGAAATCAGTGAATTTAACCAAATTGTTAGTAAGATTTCAACAGCTGGGACACAAGGCTAGGAATTGTATCTCTACAGTTATCCATGCTTTCTCCACAGCTCATAAATAGCAACGTAACTACTGATACCATTCTCATCAGAGCAGTTTTGGAGTCAATACAGAATGATTGCACTTCAAGGAACAAAAACCATATGATACAAGCACATATTGGTCAGTCAATTGTAAACTGACTGCTGCAAAACCCTCAGTGATCAGAGGGTTTGCCCACAGCAACTCATTCCTCACTCTGGTCTCCCCGTGGGCTCTGCAGGTCAGTGGCAAGGCACTCGTGCAGAGGTTTCTGGATGCCCTGACCCTGCGTATTCCTATCACTATGAATTTGAAGCATATATTCTCAGCAGTAGACTTTAGGACAGTCTTTATGGACAGAAAAGCTGTATCTAGATTAAACAGCAGATACACACTGCAGTGTCTCTCCCATCTACCAGTTTTGCCATAGGGGAACCTGGCCAGAGCAGAGCGCTGCTGTCCCTCCAGCCTGCAGCCCAAGAGACACATCCCACCAAGACTACGACTTGGATTACCACCTGGTGTATGCAGATGCCTCCCCACTTCACCTCAGCTGCCTCAAGAGGAGTCCAAGCCGACTGTTTCAAACACAGCCAGAAGGGGAACGCAGGGTGATGAACATCAGGTGGTTTCCACCTCCACAGAGAAAGCTGTGTCTGCAGCACAGACATCCCTTTTCCCACTCCCTAACCGAAGCGTGCTTTCTCGAGGAAGAGGGGCGTCATTTAAGATTCGGAGAGTTGGAAGCGATGTTAAAACACTTGCAGAGTGAGATCTCCAACAGTTCCAGGTAACGGCTCCCCACTTCGTACCTCTCCAGGGGCAGGCAGTGGGACACGGGGGATGGCAGAGGCCTGCGACTACCCACCACCACCGGGTGTCGGCCCCATGTGCCTCAGCAGGAGCGGAGAGGGGCAGGGAGGAGCCCCAAAGATCGGACGCTCAGTCCCAGTACGCTCAGGCACAAGAAGCCAACGATTTAGCACTCGCCAGGCCGTAGGCTGGGGAGTAGGAAAGGAGCGAAAAGACCCTCCGCCCCCGCACTGGACTTGGCACCATGAAACACCTTAAAACTCAGCATTTCCGCGGTGCCCCCGTCACTCCTACACATAAAAAA